AATGAAACATTCTTTGATGTTTTATTCCGCTTGTCAAAGTTACTTTAAAGATGATACAGCTTACAACTTTTTATTAAGAGACAGTTTTATGTAGCCCAGGGTAGTCTTAAACTTGCCATGTAGCTGAGGTTAACCTTTAGCTGTCCCTTCCTGAGGGCTGGAGTTACAGGCGTGGACCACTGCGCTGCCTGGATTTAGGTCTGAGTGCTCAGAATGCTTTGTGACTAATGTGTGTCTTAATTCATACTGCTTTCAGCTCAGACTACCTCTCTGGGCACTCAGCCACAAATGAGACCTCTCTCCCCCCAATCCCCCCCACCCCCAGGGACCAACACAGAAGAGGGAGAGCAAAGATGGAAGAACCAGGGGTCAGGGAGGACAGGACCAAGCAGTTTCTTCTGGACATGACCAGAAGCCTGTACTCAAAATGCTCAGTGGCTTGGCTGCTTGAACAAGGTCAAGCGGTTAACATTCTAGTATGGAGGAGGAAGGGTTCACAAGCACCTGACCCAAGTAAGGAGTGATATGGATAGCTGGTGGCTCTGGGGTCAGGGAGAGTCCATTTTAAGGGTGTGGCCTCCGACAGATCAACCAATGCTCCAGGGGAGGGTCAGGCACTATGTGTGCAGCCTAGACTGGGGAAAAAAAAAAAAAGGGTGTGGGGGTGGTTCAGTGCTTAGGAGCTTAGGAGCACTGGCTGCTCTTCCAGAGGACCTGGGTTCAATTCCCAGCAACCACGTAGTGGCTCACAACCGTAATGAGATCTGGTGCTCTCCTCTGGTGAGTAGGCACACAGTATTCTGCCTGCATGCAATAAACTTTTAAAAGGGGAGTGTAAATTAAAAGGCATAAAGGTATGTGTGTGGATGGAGGGGAGTCATAGGCCTGGGAGGAGCTGAAGAGGTGGGGTGAATGGGATTAAAAATATGTAGGAATATTAAATTGGAAAAAAGTTACTCTTGGGTTTTTTTTTTTTTTTTTCTTTCAAGACAGGGTTTCTCTGTACTGTTTTGGAGCCTGTCCTGGAACTCACTCTGTAGACCAGGCTGGCCTTGAACTCAGGTCCGCTTGCCTCTGCCTCTCAAGTGCTGGGATTAAAGACATGCGCCACCAATGCCTGCCTGTGAGTCATTTTTCCTTCTGAAATCCTTAGTGTTAATATGTATGTGTGCATGTATGTGTGTGTATGTATGCGTGAAACATGGTGACCGAATTTTGAGTCTGCACAGTTGACAACCTCACATTAACCCCACTCCCTGACAAAAGAAACTGCATAGAGACTTCACAAACACGAGACAAAGACACATTGCTAAAGACGTCCTATATACATATTTATATATACATATATAGTACTTTATTTAAAATGCCATGAGCATATACACAGTTGAGCTTTTTCCAGGGGACATTGCACCTAAGTTTCGAAACACACAAAATAGATCCCCGTTTAAACAGTTCATTTGGGGTTTACAAAAGTCAATTGTTTCACAATCACAAAGCAGAAAAGGTACACGGTTCTGAAACCATTCTCTGGAAGGCTCCTCTCCTCAAGTCACTGTACGTGGAGTACTTTTGGAAACCCAGACCATGACATACAATCATTCTTACAAAAATGATCCTTGCTGGGGGCTTCCCTAGGTTTCCACAGAAACAAAGTTAGAGGCAAGACAAATCAACCGTGGGACCCCCTAAACACAAAACTACTCGTCCAATGAGGGGAAGAGTGGAGAACATGGCCTCTCCATCTTCGGCACATTCCAGTTGAGAACAGTGCATACACAGCCTTATTTCGTCACCATCTACTTGGTTGCTACACAAACACCCACTTCACCTAGACACAAGGGAAAAACTGAAGCTATTTACACAGATAACATGGGGGAATTTAGAGCACTACACTCCCCTGGACGGCGTTCACATCTGACAGAGGGCCACAGGGCCACAGAAGAGGCCAGTAAGCCAGGCTGCTCATGTAGTGTCCTCTCAAAGTTCCAGTGTACACATACCACACATAGCACCCAAAGTTTGCTTGCTCAGAGAGGCGGCTGTGGTCCACAGGCCCTCAGCAGTGACCAGCTCCGAACACAGTTCTGTCCCGTGGCTCAAGGCTGCTCTACTATCCCATTAGCTCTGGTAGGCTTAAGGCCAGTCTGTCCCTTGCATAGACAATTTCGTTGCTTTCTCCAGCTGGCCCCGAAGCACTAAGTCACTGAAATTTGAATCTCATTGCACAACACACACACACACACACACACACACACACACACACACACACACACTCTGAAAACAGATCCTGCCTCATTTAAGGGGTGACACCTTCAAAACTAGCCCATGCAGAAGCTTCTGCCACTTGTCCCCTCGTAAACACAGATAGGCTGATGAGGAAGGAGGCGAGGGAGGGGACAGTCTTCTGAAGAGCTGGGATTTTAAGAGAGACACTTTCCCAAAGGGGTTCTAAACTAGCGGCCTTGGGATGCCGAGTTGCCCCACCCAAATGGCCAAGGTCTGGAGTGAAATTGGCTGGGGACGCTCATCCTTTCTCAGTATCCATCTATGAGTACCCTCAAAAAAGGGACTTGCAGAGAAGTGTACTGGGAAGACACAGCTGACTTCAAAGCCCCATGGAGGCGAGATGCTAGGAATTTTAAAAATCCAACCCTCCAAACCCTCCAAAGTTGAATACTGTGGAAATAACCGAGACGCTAGCTTGTTCCAGTTAGCTGCGTTTTTGGCTTAGCCCAATTGTCACCACGCCCTTCTGCCACAAGGACAATCACTGGGTCTACACAACCCCAGCAGGCCCCTTTTCCCTGTCTTTTGGCTGCTGACATTGCCTTAGAAGAACAAAGCTTTTAGTTACCACCTAGTAAAAACCACTTCAGAGTTCGCACTTTTTGGGAGGCACCATGAGACAAAGCAGCGGCAGGTCGGCTGAGCAAAGATTTAGGGTTGAAAGAGCCTTTCATTAAGGGAAGTAGCCACACAACCCCCTAGACACCCATAAGGACTAGATGAGCAAATCAAACGCTTTCCATTACACACGGCTTCCTCTGGGGCAATTAGGGTATGCAGGTCCAGCTGTAAGTGATTTCTATGTGATTTCCAAGCACATAGAAATAGCTTGCACAATTCCGAGTGGTGTCTTTTGACCTTTTCAGGAATTCTCCTGGGGTTATCGACAATTACTGTTCTGGGACAGGGTGAGACTTGGAGCCTGGGTGAACCTTAAACACAGCAAGCCCAATGTACAAAGCAATGTCAGCGCTGGGCAGGTCTGCCATGTTGTTAACACATTGTTTACCCCACGTTTGACTTATTCACCTCGTTTGTAGTCTTTCTTGCCCACAACACATAGACGGGGCTTTAGCCTGCAACTACCATCTTTCCACCCACTCCTGAACAGAACTCCCGGACATGCTGCCAACTGAAACCAGCAGGACCCTAGGTTTTGGGATGAGTTTGAATTTGGACTTTCCAGGTTGGTTTTCCTTAGGTGCACCTTGGCAGTAAATGAATTGGGAGAGTGTTGTCACAACACCTATAAGATATTTACACTCCGAAGTTCTGACTCTGGGAGGGGGGGTGGTCAAGGGGAGACCCTGGGAACTCAGAAAAGCAACATCATGAGAGGCGCTGGGAACGTGGGGTGATCCAAAAGGTGGTGGCTCAGGTCCTACCACACAACATGACTTTCCCATTTCGTGCTTGTACTTGACTTTGAAGACCTGGGCAGATGTGGGAAGAGGACCACACTCCCGGAACATGTCTCAGTAGTTTCCCACAGCATCATTCTGCCAGGGAAGCAAGCGGTTGCCGCAAACCACTCTCCAGACATCTGGGGTGGTAAAGACTCCCTGAAGGGGGAGGGTGGGTACTCAGCCGGATGAAGATGCTCCTGCCACCGTAGCTACCCAGTTCTCAGGCGCGCACAGAGCATGACACCTGCTGGACTGGGTTGTGCTTCTACAGTGGGAAGTCTGTTCCTGAGGAGGAAGGCACCAGGCCTTTAAGTATCTACAATTCTAGAATGCGGACGACTCGTCAGCCTGGAGGATATGCTCCTCTGCTCTCCTCTGGGAAGGAATTCTCTTTAAACACAAGAACTGGAATTGCCTCTCACGCATTTTAGGGGAATTTTTTCCTGGATTGGTAGAATGTCGAGTGACATGAAGTTGATGACATCTTGGAAGGCTATAGGAACAGGACTAAGCCATCAGATGTTAATCCGAGGGCCCCTGGGGAGAGCAGCAGTCTGCCCAAGAGACAGGTGATTAAGCTGGACTTTGCTTGGCTGCCCCTTCCAGTAAGGAAGCAGGAGGCAGACATGACCCCACGTGTGTGCTATGCTCATGGGGCATACTCAGTAATGGGGGTGATGCAGGGGGAAAGGGGTCTCGGATCTCTGGGTAAGACAGCACAAGCATGACCAGCCCCCATTCAGATTCACTTTTATTCACATGTCAGCCCATCTACCCTGGAACATTGACAGGAAGGAGGAGGAGCCAACTCTTAGCAGAACTGACACTTCCCATGGGGGTTGGAAAACCACCAGCGAGCTGGGAAGCCTCCATCCCATGGTGAAGTACGGCTAACGGACAACTTCCTAAGCTGCCGTATTGGATTGCTGCTCCCTATGCATCTTCAGGACACACTAGGTGTGAGAGCACTCAGTCTAGAAAGGAAAGGCCGACCTCTCACAGCAAAATCTCGAGATGTGCAGAGCCCTTCAGGTAACAGGGGGACCGTGGGGCCAACGAGACCCCACGTTTTGAAGCAGACATCGGTTCCCCTTATCCAACAAACTCACGGGGCATTGCTCTGGACAACTACCCACGTGTACGGGACACAGAACACGTGACAAACCAGATCGGGCTAGTCTGATGTGGAAACTGTCCAGCAATGAGTTGGAAAGTCCCAGTGGGGACAAGAAAGATTCAAGGAATGTCCAAGAGGAAAAAACAAAACTGCCTCACACCCCATCATTACCAAAGAGTCCACAGAAACAAGCAGAGACGAGAAGATGGACGAGACATGGCAAGGCAGAGTCCCCTGAACTAGCTGGAGCTTACAAGACGGGTGGCTCACTCAGGGGCAGGGTCCCCAACTTTTCAATGCTCCTGACCTGGACAGAAGCTGGCACTTGTCAGGCCAAGGGGTCTTCTGCCAGTTACACCTGAAATGGCTGCTCCTGCTATTCTAATTTATGCCCGTGCCCCGAATAGGCAATTAGCCACCTAAGAGCCCTACAATAGAAACCAGGAGAAATCTAACAACCCAGCTGTGCATTTCGCTCTTATTCAGTGTTCAGACCCAGTACTAAAGAAATGGAAACCTAAGGGGGTCACCTTGAAGCAAAGCCAGAGAGGCCTTTTGGCAGCAAATTCCCCATCGGGGCTGGGAGGAAACTGCATCACCTGGAATCCAGCCCAGGCACTCCCCAGTTCCGTCCTCCTTAGAGGCACCCCAGTTCTGTCCTCCTCATGCCCCGGGTTACTCTCATGACAGTTTGTTCCCATGTATTAAAGGAATGACGTATACAGAGATGTCATCTCCTGAGCCCAGTCGGTCATTGGATATCCGCCATCCTCTGTCCTTCAGGACGCCTCGGGCTCGCATCACCAGATCCTGCGCTGCCAGTGTGTACCTGTGCCAGGGGGAAGCAGATTAAGACCGTCAGGGCAGCATGGGCACATACAAGGCCTGGGGGGCTGGGAAAGAGGCATCGCTACGGCCGTACATTTTCCAATTTTTATTTATTTATAAGCCAGACAGAGCTAACTTCTCCCACATGTGTGAGGGAGGCCTGCCATTTTTCAGGTGGATGAACATGGTTCTATCTTCAATCATCTCCCACATCATCCCATTGCTCAGACACTTCACATGTTACTTATTGCAATGGATCCCAGAGAATACCAGTTTTGGAGTTATCTGAAAGATTCTCACCAGCCCAGTTTTCCATGACAAACAGTACTTGGCTAAAAAAGTACAAAACAAAAAACCAAGAACTTCTGTCTTCAATTTTTTTTTTTTTTTAAAGGCTATCTTTCCTTTTGTATCAAAGTTTTCCCTTCATGGCTGTGCTAGATTTTTGGGGGGGAAAAGGCGGGTTAAAAAAATAAGGAAAACTGAAGGTACTACGTATAAGAAAACACAGAAGGTGGAGTAGGGTGCTGGTGATTGGTAAAGCCTCAGTGCGGGCAACTTTCTCTATGCATTCATCTGTGTGAGGTTTTCCTATAGTTCACGTAAGGGCATTGAGGATTGCTCAAGAATTTGAAAGGATTGTTCATAGAGATGTCAATGGCAAACTTTAAGATAAGCTAGCAAAGAGGCTAAGCCCTAAAGAAAGTGAAAGGAATTTGGGGACGTGGGCCTGTCAAGTGGGAGGCATAAAGATGAACGGAGACACTGGCGGATTCCGAACTCAGTACTAATCACTGCAGAGTCTTTCGGCGGAGACTTCAAAGGCACCTGCCAGGCTGGACTTAGTGTGTGGCGGACGATTTTCAAAGCTTAGGACAGGAAACAACTGATACATCTTTTTCCGACTTTGCATTCACCTGCCTATTATCGCGTGTCCCCCTCTGTAGAGTAGGCTCCTGCCAATTATCACATGCCCCCCCCCCCATAGAGTAGGCTTGCCTACCAGGGAAGAATGTGCTACTCTGTGCTTTGAAAGCCTCAGCTGTATTTCTGTGTATAAATGGCAACTGGCATTCTGGTTGGAAGAACAGTTTTGTCAAGTTTGGGGAAGGTGAGCCCAGCTCTGACAGGGAATCTGTATCATGATTAAATCATGCTTGGAACCTAAACCGCTAAGAGGCAGACTCTGATAAGTCACCAGGAAAAGAAATGTCACCCTACGCATGTCTTTCTGGAAGCCTGACAATGGGCTTTTTACAAGGCGTGTATGACCTGTCATTGCCTGCAGTACCTCAGCATTCATTACCTTTGGGATCTGGGGACAGATGCCAAGTGTTCTCCAAACCAAGAGCACACACACAGCACACTCTGTTTACAGCAGACTTGCTTTTAAGAACAAGGGTTTCAGCACATGCTCAAGTCTGGAACATTCCAAGTCCTGCAGCCTTTAATGATTAAGTCTATTCTTACAGCCCAGGTGGCAAACAGTGTCATATACTACATTGTATTTGATGAAGAATGAATTCTGTCTCTGTGTTGGATGGGAAGTTGGGTAGGTAGGAGCAGCACCTAACTGCATTCCCCGCTTAGTTCTCACGAGAGTCTCATCTTGAGTGAGGAAGAGGGGGCGGTGGGCGTGGTCCTGAGGACAGTGAAGACCACCTGTTGCTCTCGAGAACTGTAGTTCTGTTCCCAGTACCCAACATGATGACTCATAACCCATAGAGAACTCCAGCTCCGGTGGGTCCGACGCCCTGGTTTGTCCTCCATAGGCCCCAGGCAGGCATGTGGAGCACATTCATGCAGACAAGATGCCCATACACGTACAAATATTTAATAGAATGACAGATGAGGGAGTCCTCGGGGTGAAGAACCCATGACCATGACTACCCCACGGCCTGCGCTATACACGTTTAGGATAGCAACCTCTAACGGGCTTGCCAGAGGTTATTCTTTAACAATGTTGCCACCAGCAACATTAGGGTGATGGGTTGTTATTTTGCTGATCAACCAACCATCTTACACTTGGGAGATGCAGAAACACCTGACGGCAGAGGTGGAATACACCTTTAGATCCCAGGAGGCAGAGGCAGGTGATCTGCTTTTTAGGGCAGCCTGGTCTATAGAGGAGTTCCAGGACGGCCAAAAAGGGTCTCCCCCAAAAGAGCAAGAGTAACAAAAGCAACTTTGCTGACTTCATGAGTTGATTCCCTCATCTGGGGTAGATACATCTTGAAATACAGCTGTGGGCATGGAGACAGGTTTCAGAGAGTCAGAAAAACCAACCCTCACAAGTCCAGACAGTTCTTGAAGGCTGTCTGGTCATGGTTGTGAGGCAAGCAGGCCTGAGCAGGCCAGCCGTCATTGAGAAACGGCTGGGGACCAGGACAAGATTGTTCAGAACATAGGCAAGGGGGCAATAGCCCTGAGCTTTTGTGACTTCCGGTCTTTGTTGGTTTGGGGGACAGGGCTTTGCCCTACAGGCCAGAGGTTGCCTTTGAACTCAGTTGAACTGCCTCAGTACTGAGATCACAGGCATGTATCATTTGTGCATGGCTAATTAAAACCCAACCTCAGTCATTAAGTTACATTATAAAGTTATATCTGTCCTTTTAATTTCACTGTAACATACACATACATGCATGAAGGCTTATTTTGTGCTTTCCATTTATGCTTTTTATGTGGCTTCCCATATTAACAGCTCTCAAACATTCACACCCTACAGGTGATTGAGATTTGTTTTTGGCAATCTTACTCGATTTTTAATATGCAGTTTACGGTCTCTGCCCTTATCCCCAAGAAAAAACTAGAATGTCATTAGAACACCTTCATTCATATAATGGGAGTATTTTAGTTTGCCTTGGTTTTAATCTACTAGTCACCATTATTATTTGGGCATGTAAGCAAACCAACACTTAACTTCACATCTCAGTCCATTTTTCACTGAATTGTTTCCTGCTCTAGAAGGACAGAAATCTTTAGCAAAGCTCCAAGGAGAAGCTTACATCATCTTCAAACAATGAAAATCTTGATTTAACTTAGAGTAGCCACATTTCAAGGTGCAGTATATTAGATGTTATTTCCACAGAGGTGTTTATGTTTGCATGTGTGTGTGCACACACCAGAATAGGGTTCCAATCCCCTGGAGCTCGTGTCACCAAATGCTAGTCCTCTGTGTAAGCACTTTTTTGTGAATGTGCATGCTGCAGTATGCACATGGAGGTGGAACACCTTGGATTCTCTCCCCTCACGTGGGCTCCAAGGATCCAAGTAAGTTCATCAGGCTTGGTGGCAGGCGCCCTTACAGGATGAGCCATCTCCAGCCCTGAGGCTGTCATTTAACTTCCCTGCCCTAAGTATCTTCCATTGTTCCACTTTGTTCCTGTGTGATGTCCTTCACGCCTTTGCTTCCTTTACAAGTTTACTGCTCCATCGATTCAGGGAGCTACGTCCTTCTAGTCGAGTTTGTCCGATTTCCCGTTTCTCTCCGAAATCCACCTTTTGATCCTATTTTCCCATGTTCAACTCCTTTCAAAACCATCCTATCACATCCAGGTTCTCTCGGGGAAGTGGGTAAGGGGAGGGGGGCTCTCATCTTTTTCTCCACGCGCATTTAAAGGTAAGACACAAGCTTTTCTTCTGAATCAGTTGTTGATTATGTAAACCCAGGGTCACAGAGGTTTAAAGCAGTCTTCCGTATGGGTGTTGTGTAGTGAGATACCCACCCAGCCCGCACCTGTTGCACTGGCCACGTTCTTTGGGGTCTGGGACAGGTGCAGACCTAGGGGGGGCTAGATCTGGGGTTCTGGACCTCAGCTCTCAGCTCTCACTTCCTGGTCATTGGTGGGGGCATCCCCACAGTGGTCATGTTTTTGGTGTTAAGTGACTCCCTCCCCAATAAATGATTCAGCCTACACGGTGTTCCAGAATAATTTCTCACGCAATAGAGTGTGTGTGTAGGTGTTATGGGTTTTTCCAGTACTTTGCAAAGTTAGGTTTATTTGGGGAGGGGGGGTGTTAAGATCCCCATGTCAGAACAGCAGTATGAAGGTTATTTCTTAGCTGTCCCACGTACTAGGCCTACCTAGCCTTAATTGAGCCTTAATTTTGTCGGATATATGCTCTCCGTATCCACATGCTGTTTTGGAGGATCAGGCTCCCAACCTGAGGGAGCAGTTTAGGAACACACCCCAAGCCCCATCCTACTCTGGGATAATATTCTGCCCATGCCGTCTCTTCACTCAGCTTCAACAGTGCTTTGAAATTCCTCCTCACACAAGCTCTTTAGGATACACAGTGTTCTACAAGTTGAGACTTGGACCTGAGCTTTCTGGACAGCTTCCTGACATGCCTTTTATGGGATGGGAAACCCTAACTGGAAGTAAAGCCAACTACTATGCCCTTGTAAGGAAGCTGTCCCTCAAGAGACTGAACTCGGCTCTCGGAGACGACGTTTTTGTTGCAGCCGCTGGAGTGTGCCAAGCTGGTGGATGGACACCTATCTCTGTACATTCAAAAGTCAATTTGCTCCAAGCATGAAACCAATCCGAGGATGCTTTCCATTGAGAATTAGCGTAAGAAGAAATCCCCTTGGCAAACTTTGCTCTGATCGGTTTTCCAAGGTTGACAGATACCTGGGCTGAGTGACAACGAGAAAACGCTTGAGGCCATACAAGAGGAGGGCACGAAGAATCTGTACTGAGACTGAACACAAGGGCATCCATGTGCCAGGCTGAGGGGCATGTCCCGAACACGAAACAAAACACAGCCCAGAGACAAAGGACAGAGGGAACTGAAGACAAGACAGGAGGTAGATGTGGCCCAGGGACCTGGCTGGCTGAGGCTGAGGGGGCTGGCAGTTCTGGAAGCTGGATGAGGAACAGCTGTAGGCAGTTACCAATGCCTTCTCACAGATGCTTGCCTGCCGGGGGCAGCATCAGCAACTGTGGTCTTAGGAAATGCTCACTTTCTCCAAGGCCAAGAATCTCCCCACTTGAGGAG